AAATAAAACACAATTTTCTCCCAGTCCTGAAGGCTGGAAGTCTAAGGTCTAGGTTAGGTTTATCATTGCTATGATGAAACACCATGACCAAAGCAACTTAGGGAGGAAAGGGCTTATTTGGCTTAGGTGTTCACTTTAGTGTTTATCATTTAAGGAAGTCAGGCAGGAACTCAAACAGAAAAGGAACCTGGAGGCAAGAGCTGATGCAGAAGCCATGAAGGAAGTCTGCTTACTGGTTTGCATCATATAGCTTGCTCAGCCTGCTTTCTTATAGAACTCACAACAACCAGCCTGGGGGTGGTACCACACTGTGAGCTGGGCCCTCCCACATCAATCACTATGGAAATTCCATATAGGCTTTTCTATAGTCTGATCTTAGGAAGGCATTTTTTCAACTGAAGCTCTCTTCCCTCAGATAACTATAAAAATAACCAGCATAGTAGTTCTATTTTCATTTATTTATCTTTTGAGAAATCTCCAAGCTTGACTTCCACAATAGATGTATTAATTTGCACCATCACCAGTGTGAATAAGGGTTCTGCTCACCGCATTCCTCTCCAACATTTGTTATTAGGTTTATTGATGAGAGCCGTCCTGATTGGGGTGATGTGGTATTTCAAAGTAGTTTTAGTTTGTATTTCCCTGATGGCTAGAAATATAAAACATAAAAAAAAAAAAATAGGTACTGGCAATTTGTGTTTCTTCTTTTGAAAAGTTGTCTATTCAATTCACTTGCCTATTTATAGACAGTTTTACTTCCTTGGCATTTAATTTCTGCAGTTCTTTGTAAATTCTGAATGTCAGCTCAGCCCTTTGTCTGAAGCATAGCTGGTACAGATGTTCTCCGTGCTGTGGGCTGTCTGTGCTCTGCTGACCATTTCCTTTGCTGAACAAAACTTGATTTTCCTGTAGACCCATCTGCTGATCCTTGGGGCTAGTTCCTATGCTGTTGGTCCTCCATTAAAAGGGTTATATATTCCCCAGTATCTTGAAGGGTGTCCTCTGTGTTTTCTTCTAGAAGTTTCAGTGTTTCAAGTTTTAAATTAATTTTTGTATAAGGTGAAAAATACAACTCTAATTTCATTCTTCTGCAGGTAGATATCAAATTTCACCGCACCTTTTGATGAATAGGCTTTTTTTCTCTAATGTAGGTTTTTGATTTGTTAAAAAAAAAAAAAATTAAGTGGGCACGGCTTTGCTGTCTGATTTCCAGGTCCTCTGTTCCACCCTATTGGCCTGTCTGTCTGATCTTCAGGCCAAGCCATCTGGATCACTATGGCTCCATAGTATAATTTGAGGTCAGGTTGTCAAGCAGCAGTGTTCATACTCCCTAGGAATGCTGTGGCTGTTTTAGATCTCTCTCTTATTGGGATTTTGATAGGTATTGCATTAAATCTGTAAATTGATATTGGTAGCATAGCCACTCACAATATTAAATGCCAATCCAGGAGCAGATGTCTTTTCATAATCTGTAATTTCATTTTTAAATATCTTGAAGATTTTTTTGGAGAGGTTCTTTATTTCTTTGGTTAGATATATTCCTAAATACTTACCTGGGGGCTGATAATTTTAAATGGAATAATCCCCCTAATACTTTTTTTTGAGAGTACAATGAAGGCTTTTGTTTTGTTGGGTTGTTTTTTTTTTTAACACGGATTTTGTATATGGCAACTTTACTGTATTTATTAGGTTCAAACGTTTTCTAGCAGACTCAATAGGGTCTTTTTAAACAACTGTGTCATCTGTAAATAGGAATGGTTTATCTTCTTCCTTTCCTATTTTTATCCCTTTTATGCCTTTCTCTTGTCTAATTGCTATAACTAAGACTTCAAGCACTTATAGATAAGAGGGTGTGAACATCCTTGTCCTGTTCCTGGTTTTAGAGAAAATGCTCTCAGTTTGTCTCCATTTAAAATAATGTTTTTATGTTATAGGTTTATTGTGCGTAGCATTTATTATTTTGAGGCTTGTTCCATCTATTCCTAAAGTTGCCAGAACTTTTATGATATACCTGTGTTCTAACGTCCTTCTCTCCTAGGGATTCCCTTGTCTTAGCACTTCTATTGCTGTGTTGAAACACCATGACCAAAAAGCATGATGGGAAAGCATTTATTTGGCTTAAACTTCCACATTGTAGTCCATCATTGAAGGAAGTCAGGACAGAAACTCAAACAGGGCAGGAACCTGGAGGCAGGAACTGATGTACAGACCATGGAGTGGTGCTGCTTACTGGCTTGCGTAGTCTGCTTTCTTATAGAACCCAGGACAACCAGATCAGAGATGGGACCACCCACAAAGGCCTGGCACCTACCCCGATCAGTCACTCATTACAAAAATGCCTGTAGCCAGATCTTATGTAGGCATTTTTTTCTTAATTGAGGCTCTCTTCTCTCAGTTGACTTCAGCTGTGTTGTTGACATAAAACTATATAGCATACTTTTTTTTTTTTAAGAAAATTGAGGCCGCTAGATGACCTCATTTAAACCACCTCTTTAAAAACCCTATCTTTAAATGCACTCTCATTCTGAATTACTGCACATCAGGATTTCAGTGTATAAATTCCAAGGGACACAACTCATCTGATAATATTGCTGAAAATTATACAACCAAAAACTCACTAAAAGTTTCTGGAAATTGGAAACAATAAATGATGCTTTTGTTGTTGTTACTGTCGTTCCTTCAAGAAAATCTACTAACATTGAGTAGGAACAGTGAGTCTCTGGCATCTGACCCATCTCAAACTCCTAATTTATCTTATCATTTTCTTAGCCCAGGCCATTCTGGTGAAAACTCCACTGCAGACGGGTGTGACTAAGAACACAGGGCTCCATCTCCTCTCCATTCCCAACCAAGAGACAGAGTGTCTCATCAGGAAGGGAAGGTCACTGGCATCTTAATTCCTTCCAAGTCCTGTTGCAAGGACTAAATCTGTGGTGTACTCAACACCACATGCACAGTGAAAGCCTTGGGTACAGCAGACTGAGAATACCTCCAGACACCTCCTCAACCTTTTTGCTCATGTGACTGAGGCTATACGCCATTAGAAGTAAGTCCGGAAAACTAGATCCTGCTAGTCTACGCTACACTTAGAATAATGACTGAGGCTGCGTGCGCCCAGGAGAGTCAGTTCTGAAATTAAAAAAAAAGAAATTAAACAAGAGTACGGAGAAACAGTCAAGCCTAAAGTCACTTGGGAAAAAAAAAAGTTTTCCTTAAGTAAGAGCAAGATGCCAATGCAGAAGCCACTTAGTTCACCAGAGAGAACTAAGAAAGGAGGCAATGAAGAATTAATCATCCTGGGGTTAAAATAAATCTCAGCCACAGACCTCAAAAACTATCTGCCAAAATGTATTAGATTGCAGAACAATTTATGCTCTGAGAATTAAAACAAAACAAAACTAAGTCATCGGTGAGCACTTCATGTAATATTACAGCTGGAAATAAGAAATGAGGCAGACAAAAAGTGATAGGCAATGAGCCCTGCTAAAACCACTATCACCCAGATTACCTGTGGACCTGCCCAGAGCTGTATTCTCTGAGAAACAGACTTCATTAGAATTGCTTTGCCTACTCACTAAACAATCAAACAACAAGAGTGACAGAAAATGGACAGCCACAAGGGGAATCAACATCCAGAATTACAGACCCTAAAACTCTAGTTTCCAATAAGAGATTTTGAGTTATGCAAAAACAGGAAACTATAACCCATATACAGGGAGGCAAAGAGCAGGCAACAAAAACTACCTTTGAGAGAGCCGGAGGGTAACAAAGCTTCCATTATGTTAGAGGAAATTCAGGGACTCATGCTTAAAGAGTTCAAACCAGGGACAACACAAGATTCAATTAATAAAGCAGCTAGGACAGAGAGTAGATGCCTGTTTGCCTAGGGCCAGCGTAAGGAGTGAGTGGATGGGCAGAAGGGGACTGGTGACTCCACATGGATATGAGGATTTCTGAAGTGATATGTGTTCTAAATTTGGCTGTGGTAATGGTTGCCCATCTATGTGAATTTACCAAGAACCATTAATTACATCATGTATCTTAAGTGAAAAATGTATGACATGTGAATTATATATTATTAATTACACTATTTTTAAAAAACACTATGGACTCCAGCAAAATAGATTATGGTCTACACCAATACCCAAACGACAGAAGAGATGGATTTATAAGACCAATTTAAATGAATCCAACAGGTGGCTGATAAGTTAGCAGAGTTAATTTGATTTGATCATCTCAAATTTAATAGCATTCTCTTAAAGAGTTTTTAAGGCAAGCAGCAGCACATTTCGGTCAAAAGAGATCCTTGCCCTAAATCTAATAAAATTGACGCAGGAGAAAAACAAAACACGTCTCAGAGGAACAAACCTAACCTGAGATGGAAGGTCCAGTCACATTACGACGATAAAGCTGTGCTGCTTAAAATCTTAGAATATTCCCATGATAGAGAGTATGCAGTGCTGCTTAGAACCACCTATCCTACTCTATGCCTGGAAGCCTGGAGCTGCTGCAGCCATCTTGGCTTCTTCCGCGAACATCTACCTTCCTTCTTAAGAGGCACCCCTCCACTCACCCCGAAAATGATTAGCACATGGCCATCGTGGGCCACCGGAAGACTACAGGAGCAGTACATCCTACATTCGTCTAACTGGTGATATTTTGAAACGGGAAAGTTCCAGAGAAAACTGTCATGGTGAGCCTACTAGGCACTGGTGGGCACAAAGAGCCACTCATCTCTAGAGCATCACCCTGATCCCTCCGCCTACCGCCCCTTCTAGCGCTTTTCAGGGTGACCACAATCAGCAGTATCCTCATGAGTCGTGCGCACTGAAACAGGTGTACTTCCTCTTTCCTCCTCCACCTCCCGCAGGGGAATCTGGGCCCGGACGTGCGCACTGAGTTGCTGGGAGGGGTGGGGCTCGCGCGACTGGCAGATTAGTGCGCATGAGCAGAGCGGCCTCCAAAGCGGAAGTGGCGCTGCGGCGGGGAGATGGGGCGGGAGCGCGCTGAGGCTGGGAGAGCGGCTGACATGGCGCACTTGGGGCGTCTCCTGGTTCCCCTGGCAGCCCTGGTCCTGTTTCTCTGGGCGGTCCCTGGGGCTCTGGGACGGCGGAGCAACGTGCGAGTCCTCACCGATGAGAACTGGACCTCGTTGCTTGAAGGAGAGTGGATGATAGAATTGTGAGTGCGGGGAGGTTGTCTGGGTGTCTGATGGTGGTAGTGGTGGCGGTGTCCCCGGTAGCTTCCTCCCTCAAGCTGTACACCTGACTGGCCCATCCATCTTCTTCTGCCAGGTCTTGAGATCCCAACTTTTGCAGCCCCCAGCTCCAGGGTCGTTTCTTATCCGGGAATATTACTTTTCTATCTGAGCGTGCACTGAGCCTCATGGTTGCTAAGCACTGGTGCGATTAAAGGATTACGTGCCACATCGAATTCGCTGGAACAGCCTAGCGGGTTTGAGTGTGAGATTGGGTGGGATGGAGGTCTTGGCTATTTCTATAGACTTTTAGTAATCTTATATAGACATCTAGACTTTAAGTCTCCAAATTTTTACAAAAGATTATATTGAACAAAATCTCGCTTTTAACCTGTCGTTTGGAAATTGCTATATTTATCTATTTGTAATGTTTGAATTTCGAGCTGTTTATTTATTTTTATTTTGGGGGTTAGTTTTTTATTGTAAATGTCAAATAAGTGGAAATGTATCTTAAAATCTTTATTTTCTTTTTTTTTTTCTCCTTGCCTACATTCATTTCTTTTAATATGAATCTCATTTTTCCTTGGCTGGCGCGTTTGCAATTTGGAGAATGGCTTGAATTGTGACTTACAGGCCTACAAATGGTATAGCGTATGCATTAGTATGATTATTAATAGGCCCTTTAAAAACGCCAGTTCATCATTTACTATTCAAACACTTATCTTGTGTGATGGTTCTACTTCAGTAATGTCCGTTCTGCTGCTGTAGGAAATAAACTACCTTTGGCCTTTGTTTTAGATGATAAATTAATGGAGTGGTTAATTGACAGTGTTACTGATAGATACCATTATTGATCTGGCAAAAGCACCACTATTGAATGTTCATTGCTTACTGAACACTACTCAGTATCTTTACATACATTTTCTGGTAATTATTCTACATACTCCTTATACTGGTTAACCACTTTTACCGATTGACCTGTTCAGATGTTGTCATAGTAGTTTTGTTGGGCTTCAAGAGTAAATATATACAGGCACTGTTAGCAACCCTTGAGTAAGATTCTGGTGTTTTCCTATATTGTGATTATGTTTAGGGCTGTACACTAAGGAAAAGGTGGAAGTGAACATCCTCAAGAGAGAACCCAGATGACATCCATGATACCTGAGACATAAAACAAAAGGAAATGTCTAAAGCATTTTTATGGAGACTACTGTAGGGAAGACATTTAGTGTACTGACAGTTGGCTGGCTGCTCACTAAAGTCAATTTTCAGGAGAAGAGTGCTAACCAGTGCTGTTTGTTTTCAGTCATTGTCATGAATAGCAGTGTTAAAGCAGTAATGATTATAAATTGATATGTAAAATATAGTCAAATATTATAGGAAGATACCTTTAAACTTTTTTGTCACACTGTAAATATCCACAAAAGGTATAAAGGGGAACTAAACTACCATAATACTGAGAATGAAATAAAAACATCCATCTGAAGTTACAGTGTCCCATGCTTCCTTTTATCCATGGCTAAAATTTGGGAGTTGAAAGAAGCTCTTAAGGGCAAGTGTGGGGGGTGGGTACTGGAAGGAGGTCAGCAATTGGGAGGTGAAGTGAATGAATAAATAAGTAAGAGGGAGAAACTCTTAAAAAGCATTAAGAAACAACACACTTGCTAGTAGTGATATTCCACCCTTAACCACAAGTGGATGATTCTCTGTAAATTCACTTCTGATAACCTTTATTATAAATCTGTTTTCATTGTAATTTTACTGTTAAAAGAGTTTGACTTTTGTATGTAACACTAGTTTTGCTTTATTTACATGCCTGTCTTAGAAGCTTAATTTTCCTAAGGCAATTCATGAAAATGTGAGATTACAGAAGTGGTTTTAATATGTGTAGACTTCGTTCTTTATGGCTGTAAGTTACAACCAACGTGCAATGAAATGGAAAACAAAATTCTAAGGAAAAACTTGGACCTGGAAAGATAGTGAGTTTCAGAGAGGTGTTTCGAGTACTGGCATCCTTGGTGTCATGGTGCTGGCCAGTAGAATTTTGTCTATTGTACTCAGCTGTTTAGAGTAATATTTATACATAAGAATATAGGTCTTCAGCTTCCTTTACTGTGAGTAACCTGCCTTCCTGGGGCAATCCCTGATGGTAATTCTTCCCAGTAGTGATTGTATACTGGTTGCAGCTTGTAGAGCCCAGGTACTTCCTATTTTTCCAATATTTTGCTCATGACCCTGCTTGTAAAATTACTTAACTTGGTGAACTTAAACAAACACAACTTTCTGCCATGTTTTAGTTGAAAAGTCTAAAGGTTTTAAAAGAGCTGTTTACCGCGTTAGAGAGTTCCCATGTATTTAAGAGTGTGTTCTCAGGCTTGCTTTTTTACTGTGGTTCAGTTCACCAGTTGAGCATTTCTTGATGTCCACCATTGCCAGGCTCATGCTTTCAATTTTTTTTTTATCTGCATAAAGTTACCCAATTTGCTTCCTTGTTCAACCAAAGATCACACTCTAACCCATGCTGGGCTTGCACTCAGTAGTCCTCCTGGGATTACAGGTGTGAGGTGCCCCACACGGGTCATTTTCTCTGTTATAAATAGAAACATTCTTCAAAAAGTATGCCTAAAATATTAGGTCATTAAAGTACTTAACTTTTAAAAATTTAACCATGTTTTGTAGTTATGCTCCTTGGTGCCCTGCTTGTCAGAATCTTCAGCCAGAATGGGAAAGTTTTGCTGAGTGGGGAGAAGATCTTGAGGTTAAAGTTGCAAAAGTGGATGTCACAGAGCAGACAGGTATTAACAGTAACAGCTCTGGCTCAATCTGTTTTCTTGCTAATGCTGTTTATCATATTTGACGTATGTTTAATGATATGTGTCAAGGCTCATAGTGTAATAACATTTCCCATTTTCAGCAACAATAAAACTACCTTTGTTCTTGAATGGCAAATGCATTTTGGTTTGAGATGTCCTTAAGATTGTTTTTACTTGGCTGGTCACTACTAGTCAATTACTGTGGTAATACTAATTTCTCAGGTACTTAATTATTCACAGATAACTTCAGTATTTATGCTTCATAAATTTTAGCTGACTTACGTACATTAATGTGTCTTTAAAGTTGCTTTAACAACTAATTCATGTTTTCATTGTTGATTATGTTTAGGTATTTTCTTATTAGCATTTAAATAAAGTCAACTTTTAAGTAAGCAGTTGTCCCTAATTGTTGTTTATTCCTTGTCTTTGGTAGGATTAAGTGGACGGTTTATCATAACTGCTCTTCCTTCTATTTATCAGTAAGTATTTGGAAGTTCTTGATCATGGAGAGGATTAGATCACAGAGAGCAGTAGGTCTCTGAAGAGCTAAGATAATCTCATATTTAGCAAAGACTTGAGAGCTTGATTTGGTTTTAGCTAGTGGTACATTAAGTCTTATAAATAACAGTAGATGAATGATACATAAAACACTCTTTGTTTTGGAGACTGTAATTTCTTTAGACAGTTCTCATGATTGGTATGGTTTTCTTCAATATAGTCAGTAACTATTAGCCAGAGTCGTAATGAGTTCTGTAGGAAGCTGGCTGATGGAGAGAAGCCACAATTGGTCAGAGCAGTTACTGGAGAACGTGAGTTTTAAGAAACCTTGGGACTAGATAGAGTTCTCAAGAGTGTATGCTTTCCTGAGTAATTGTAAACAGGAGGAACATGGTCTGAGGAAATGCAGGTTATACAGCTGGGGGCGACACTGAATGGCTGTGAGTTTGAGTGAACAAGTCTTGGTTCTGCTACTCTGTGTTTCCCAAACTACACTAACCTAGAGGGTGACAATCTCTGTTTACTTGACCTGGACATCAGTGTAATTAGCTGGTGACTAAATACCAGGAAGGAAGAAGGACTTATTTCCTCATTTAAAGTTGGAGCAGCAAAGTAAATTTTCCCCTTTTTTTGTCTTCCTTTGTGTGTGTGTGTTAAACCTTATTTCTGCTTTGTATATGAGAATCAACAAGATTGACAAACTTTTAGCCAAGTAAAACTAGAGGTGAAAGGGGGGATAGTATAACAGACACCAAAGAAATTCAGAGAATCGTAGGGACATGCTTATTTAAGTATGATGTAAGTAAGTACTTACATGTAAGTAAGTAAGTACATGTACTCCGTCAAACTGTAAAAGAAGTAGATGTCAAACTGTAAAAGTCAAACTGTAAAAGAAGTAGATTAATTTCTTGATATATCCAGTGTAGTAATTAAATCTCCCAATGAACAGAAGTTCAGGGCCAGATAGATTCAGTGCAGAATTCTACCTGGCCTAAAAAAGAACTAACACCAGTACTTCTTAAATTATTTTACAATATTGAAAGGGACACGTCCCAGTTCTTTTTACAAAGCTATATTACCCTAATACTAAAACCACACAAAGATCCAAGAAAGAAAAGTATAGACCAATAATACCCTTTATGGGTATGGTGCAAAAATTCTCAATAAAATACTTGCAAACTAAATTCAAGAACACATCAAAAAGATTATCCATCATGATCAAGTTGGCTTCTTCCCAGAGATCCAGGAATGGTTCAACATTGTAAATCAGGAAACATAATCTATTACATAAAAAAACTAAAACCACATCATCATCTCATTAGATGTAGAAAAGGCCTTTAACAAAGTCCTATACCCCTTCATGATAAAAGCTCTGGAGAGACTAGGGATGCAAGGAACATACTTCAGCATAATTGCAAATTATAGCAAGCCAGCATCAACCTAAACAGAAAGAACTTCAAGCATTTCCTCTAAAATTAGGAATATGACAAAGATGCTCACTTTCTCCATACCTATTCAATATAGCACTTAGCTAGAGGGAATCTAAGAAAGAGATCAAGGGAATTTATACAGGAAAGGAAGAGGTCAAAGTATCTTTACTTGGAGATGATATATATGACGATGCAGAAAGGCCCCCAGAAATTCCACCAGAAACCATCTATAGCTGATAAATACTTTAGCAAAGTAAGCAAAATGCAACATTAACACATAAAAATCAATAGCCTTCCTGTAAACAAATGGCAGACTGAGAAAGTCAGGGAAAGTATCTTTCACAGTAACCTCTCAGGATAAGTGTCTTACATAATAAAAACTTGAAGACAAGTCCTCAGCCTTTGCTCCATCTACCCTCGCACTCTCAACATAGGGCATACTGTACTAGACGTGAATTCTTTCAACCTCGAAAGTGTCAGGAGTCCCCTACCTTACTTACATCAAGGTAAGAGTCCTTTACCCACACCAAAACTTGTGACTGAGATGATTCATAAGTTTATTATTTGAAAAAAGAAAATCGTAAAGCTTATGGTTTTATATGTTTGGGGCTCTGATGCCATCAGTACATAATAATGTGTTCTGGTGCTTTGCTAGTATCTTTTGAAGATTAGGATTGACTGTAAAATGAAGAAATGATTGAACACAATTATTTCCTGCTGCCAGCTAATATTTAGTTCTGACCTTTAGTTGTAAAGATGGTGAATTTAGGCGCTATCTGGGCCCAAGGACTAAGAAGGACTTCATAAACTTCATAAGTGAGAAAGAATGGAAGAATGTTGAACCTATATCATCATGGTTTGGTCCAAGTTCTGTTTTGTAAGTATGAGGACTATCTTCCTTCAAAATTAATTGCAGATAATTATGTTTCATGTAAGTAAAGCAGGCATGCTGTTTCTTAGATTTTTATGCTATGTATATCAGATATATGTTTACTGTGACTGTTAAAAGATACTTTTATTCATGGGAGCTAGGAGTAGGCATTTTGTAGGACCACATTGAATGCACTTTTCAGATTATTTTAGCTTTGATGTGGTTAAATGTGTCATTGAGAACTTGATCCTTTAGAAACTGAGCAGCATAATGCGTAAGGAAAGTTATTGCTTGATCCTAATTTTATGGGAGTAAGAGTGTTCAGTCATGTACTTTCATTGTTAATGTGAAGTAACTGTGTTTGGGTGGCTGGTCCTGATAACTTGTGTGAATAGTATGTCTGACAATGAGAATGATGTGAGCTCATAGCTAGAAGATAGACACATTCACCATAGCGGTTAGGCTTGAGAATGGCAAGCATGTTTCCTTGGATCCAGTGCTCCACTTGAGAAACCTGGCAGATAGACTATCATGGTCCCATTTTGGTGTGACTAAATTTCTCCTGACCTTCCCCATACTTGCATTTGAAGACGAAGAGTTGGGAATACTAACCATAAGAACACAGAGCTTCTGTGGATTCTGGGAATGGGGAAAGAAATTAGCCCTTGTTGTGTGTGGAAGTAGAAGTACATCCTTCCCTTTTTGTTGCTGGACGCAAAACTTGTCATTATCAAAACTTGCCATTATCCTTCAATGGTCAGACAAGTGAGGTTTTACATTTCAGTTCCACTTTTGTTTTTGACAAGGTCTTGCTGGATTGCAGCTTTTGATTCTCCTGCCCTGGCCTCCCAGGTGCTAGGATTACATTTGTGAACCACCTCACCTATACTTGACCTTTAAACAGCACAAGCAACGTGACGAGTATTTCTCTGTGCTGAACATAAGAAGCAGTTCAGTGAGTTGTTCTACCCCAGTAGAGGACTGTGGCTGCTTTAGTGTCTCTTGAATCCAGTACAGCAGGTTGCCCTTTTTTTATTAGTAGACTGGAGAGGGGGCTACTCCAAGTTCAGCAAGCTCCTCTACTCATCGAAGCAGGTTGGCATTTGGGTTGGATAGAGAGAGCTGTGAGGTTTTGTGTAAAGAAGCCCTAGGCAGCTCCAATTGTCCTTGTTACAGGAAACTTGTCATAAACCCAACAAACACTTCGATTATTTAACTTTAAAACAAAACAAGAACACCATCCAAACCACTTGAATTTAACAATGTGAAAGTAGTAATTACGTGTTATCTTAGTGTTTATTTCCTATACGTTATTTATATCTCATTAAAGGCTCTAGATTGATTAATCTGAGCAAGAAAGTCTTGTCATGTTGGAGAAACTTAGAGTAGAAGTGTAGTGTACAGACATAGGCAATGCTGTGTATCTTGTTCAGTTTTTCACTCCTCTGTTTTTTAGGATGACTACTATGTCAGCACTTTTTCAGCTTTCCGTGTACATCAGGGTATGGATTAAGCTTTTTCTATCTTAACCATTTCTAACACTTGTTTTTAATGAGCATGGTTTTAGTTTGTTTGTCTCTATTGCAGACTAGCCACAGCTATTTTGTTCATGACCTTGGAATACCAGCATGGGGCTCATACTTGGTTTTTGCTTTTGCCACAGTGCTCTCAGGACTGCTGCTGGGACTTGTAAGTACTTCACTTTTAGAGTACTAAGATAAATACTTGAAAACGTGATAACATTGTTAGTATTAGTTGTATTGCATGTCATACATTTAGGTTTCTGCTTATTTTTCAGTGTATGATATTTGTAGCAGATTGCCTTTGCCCTTCAAAAAGACGCAAACCTCAGCAACAGTCTACAAGTAAGTCAATGTGCACATGCACATGTGGGGTCCTGGGGCTTGAGTTTTGGGTTGTATTCATGCTAGGCAAGCACTCTCATTGAGTTACACCCACTACACAGCTGACACTTTGAGGGGTTTTCATTTCTGTAAATGTAGTCACCAGCTGTTCTGAGCCTAGGTTGTTAAATATGAATGATGACGCTTGTTAGCTGTGGCATAAAGGGACAGTGGGAGATAAATATTTCATATAAAATAATAACTCCAGATCTTGGAACATTGTCATAATTCAGAGAATGTTATATTTCATATAGCTTTGTAGGTATTGAAAATGTCTTTGTATTCAACTAATTCTCCATTTTTTTTCCTGATAGTATAGTAGGAAAAGCTGATTGAGGGTTGGTTGGTGTTGATGGTAAACTAGGCTATAAATTAGTCTACATAATTAGAAATAGTTGTTCATTACTAATAATATAATTTAACTTGGTGTGCAAGAAGTTAACTTGCATTAACTTTTCTGTTAATGTGAGGTGAACATAGAAGGCCATGGCTCATAATCTTAGAGTTGAGGAAATTCAGGTGTATTCCACTGTATATGAAGCTTGCTTCTTGACACTTTCTCTATTTTACACACGTCAGTTTTGTTTGAGATTGTGTTTTGTGTATACTGAGTTGTGTAATGTTGAATGGTCAGCAGTATTGCACTGGTGCCTGTAGTTCTGTCCCTATCAGGTATGACACTCAAAAGTGTCTCCAGACATTACTTGTTGTTCTTTGAGGGGACAGAATCATTCTGAGTAAGGTACTGCTATTGTAAACCGTAGTACTCACTGAAATCCCATGGATATGACATAGGACAAGGAGTAAGTCCCAGTATGAAGAGGCATGCCAGGTTGTCAGCATTGAGTTTCTTCCCATAGCTTGCTGTGTTTGCTAACCTCCCTGCAGTGGTGGGTTGCCTAGGATCACTGCATACCATAAACGTCTTTTCATCTGTATCTGTCTCTTTAACACATTATGATTCAAACTTAATTAGCATCGGGCCCTCTAAAAAGTAGAAAGGCTGTACTTTGGGTGTGTGTTTAAGGTTTCTCCATTTTATTTCTTGCAGTTATACCTTAGTACAAAGGTGAGGGTAGGGAAAGAGAAAATATCTGGGCAAGAATGCAGCTTCTTTAAGTATGTGATTCTTGTTTCTCTGGGACCTGAGACAGGATAGTGCTGAAGTTTTAGTATACTTAGAGGTGGAAAATTAATATCAAGTTGTTATAAGATGGATCTGTTTAATGCAGAATATTTGATCTCAGCTTCTATGTTCATTGCATTGACATTGGTTCATAATGTTGGGTTAGGTAATTTGAATGTGATAAAGGAATCATTGTATAATAACCTGCTTTATTCACTTTGAAAATCTAAACATAAAAGTCAGGGCTTATGAATCCTTGTATCCTAATTTTACTCTAAAGCAAAATCAGTACATTAACTAAAGTAAATTTCTGGTCTTTTAAGAAAAACCATCACCAGAATTTTCTCAACCTTTGAAAAAAGTGGAGGAAGAACAAGAGGCTGATGAAGAAGATGTTTCAGAAGAGGAGACGGAAAATAGAGAGGGAACAAGCAAAGACAATCCTCAGAGCAGCCTAAGACAGCGCTGTGTGGGCCCATCATCGGCCACAGACAAATCCTAAGTTTTACATATATCTTAATATTATGATTTTAACAAAACTGAGGGTCGGTGATCATTTCTGTTGCGAATTGAACTGTGACTTGCTGTATATACAGTTGAGGTTGACATTAATTTGGACAGTTTTCATGCAGGAAATAAAAGCAGTTAGATATAACAGTTTGAAATATGATTTAAGAATATTATGATGGTTTAAAGTTATTTAATTTCAGAAGATCCTGGTGCCAAGCAGTAAGATTTGTGTTTATATTTAATAATCTATTTTGTGTGAGATTCGAAACTGCCTTTCCCAAGATTTGCATTACTGGGATATTTAGGAAAGTTACCTTAGAGAGAAGGATTTCTCGTTTCACATCATTTTTCTCAGTTTCACTGTGTGAAAAAAGGATCATATCTCCCATAAGTGGGAGTGTTGCCCATTGTTCCAAGACAGGTATTGCATTGATAACGCTGGGCTTAAGTAGAGTCCAAAATTTCCTCATAGATTTTGGATTATACAGCTAACAAAACTACCTTACTTTATAGCTTTCATTTCTATACATGACATTCAGGATATGCTGCTGACTACAAGTTGTTATAAGTCTATGGCATTGTATTAATTCTTAAAGCTGATGCCTGTTTTAGTCTCTTGTTCACTATATGATTTTTGTTATTTGCCATGTGTTACATTTTTAAGTTGAAAAAAATTAACAGTATCACTATTGTGTGTACTGTGGGTAAACAGAACTTTTTTTATCCTTTTAAGTTGAAGTTTACTGAGAGAACCGTCAAATCAAACTGTTTACTTGAAAATGTACAAATTTGGCTATACATTCCAGATTTTAAATATTATTATTATTAAATGGTCTGAAGTTTTCTTTTCTCTTTTTAAGGTAAAAATGAAATTTTCTGATTTTTAAAGTTTGATGTGGAAAAGCTTTGGTATTTTATATTTTGGAAATTCAGAGCTTAATTGATGTAAAATGAAGTCTGCATTCTACTCAAGAAACACCTACTACTATGTGTTTTTAGTGTATCTCTGTCCTCCACAGGTTCTTGATGAATTTTATAGTTAGGATATTGCTTTGTGTTTGAAAATCATAACACTGTTATGTTTTAAAGACAAATTTCATATTGAATTGTTGTTGACTGCTAGTACTATGTGTCTCGCAAATGGAAACAAGATCAGCAAGATGGTAGGGTATAGTGGGGACTGACTTGATGTCTGCCAGGCGAAAGCGGACCGAATTCCTGATGCGTCCTCCAGCCTTTATGGAGTAGATGGTGTCTGACTGCTCTCTCCTTTACGCTCTTTGTGTGAATTCCTTAGATTTGCAGTACTGTGATGTACAACAGCTTCCTTTAGGCCTCTCCTTTATAATATTAAATGTCCTGCTGTCAGAGTTTGGGTATGTAGTTTGTGATGGCTTAGAAAAACATTCTAAGCAGAAAATAAATGTTTCTAAGCACTTCAGTGATATTGAAGAAAAGTATGATTTCTCTCAGTGTCTTTTCGGAGTCTCATGTATCCCAGGCTGACCTCCACTACTGTATAGCCAAGTGTGATGGAACCAATGATCCTCCACCCTATTGGCCGGGTGGTAGGATTACAGGAACACACCATCACTGGGCGCCCTCCTGCCTGGCAAGCACTCTACCAGCTGAGCTCAGTCTCTAGCCCAGCAGTGATTGGTAGGTTCCTGTTTGAAAGTCTGCTTAATCACTTGCCGCCCAGCAGTGCTCTGGGGCGTGAAGAGATGTGTCACTACTTGTGTGCCTCATGTGACCCAAAGACTAGTCTTCTCAATCATTTCAGGAGAATAATGCTCTGTAGTCAACATTTTGTTTGCTTTTAGTGTTTCTGTTGTATCTCTAACATTGTCAGGTTTTTAATTAGAAAATGCTTTATTACAGAAAATTAAAAGTATCCTGAATTAAGGTGTTGGGTGTTCTCATAAGCATATTGTATAATTCTTGAAAATTGTCACAGTATACTTCTGAAAAATTTTGTTTTGATACCACCAGTATACAGAACCTCATGGTTAATTTACAAATGATTCTGAAATGAATAATGTGTTATAGGTAACAAACTAGGAAATTCTGGCCCATTCGCCACTTGTCACACTCCACCAAAATACTGTAAAATCTGGTCTCTACTGGAATATGTGGTGTTCTGCCATATACTGTTTCATGATTGTTTAGCAAGACTGGTTAAAAGATGGGAGTGCAGGCTCATCTAAGAGAGATAGGAGTGTGGGCTTGTCTAAGAAAGATGGGAGTGCGGGCTCATCTAAGGTGGGAGTGCAGGCTCATCTAAGGTGGGAGTGTGGGCTCATCTAAGGTGGGAGTGCAGGCTCATCTAAGATGGGAGTGCGGGCTCATCTAAGGTGGGAGTGCGGGCTCATCTAAGGTAGGAGATCTAAGGTGGGAGTGCGGGCTCATCTAAGAGCTTCCCGCACATGGTTAGCAACCTGTTGGAGCTTTGATAAAGTTTTCAGTGTGATCACTGCAACTTCTGTGTAACGTGTGTGTGTGTGTGTGTGTGTGTGTGTGTGTGTGTGTGTGTGTGTGTGTCTTTAAATCATACTTCTCTATACCAGCAAATCCTTTTCCAACATGGTTATTTTGGAGTTGCAGTAAATGGTGCTTTTGAAAATAGTTTTCCTGTCAATGTATTGGCTTTTTTTTTTTTCACATTGTGTTGTTAGCTTTTACAAATCAAAATGACGTCTGATGCTCAGTGGTTAAGAGCCTTGCAGAGGACCAGAGTTTGTTTCCTAGTACCTATGTTGGTCAGCTCAAAGCTGCCTGTAATTGTAGCCCCAGGGAAGGCAATACCACTATTCACCATGAGCACCCACACTCCATGTACACATAATAAAAAATAATAAAGTCAAAAGTCTTTAACGTTCTTTATAATCTCAACTTTATTATATAACAAAACAATTTAAAGACTTTAGATGTATATTGAGAAAAACTAGACTGTTTTAAGAAAGTTGTTTGTCCTTATAAGAAGATTTCCTGGGTTTAAAAAAAAAAGCCCCAGTTATAGCTGAAGTTATGCGTGCCAGAGTTTTGCTTCTTAGGCAGGTAGCACTGAATGGAAGTCTACTTTTTAAAAATCACATTAAAACCTTAATCCCAAGCTCAAGCGTGTAGTGAGCCTTAGGTCAGGCTCTAAAAGAATGTCAACAGCTGCTTCTGCTCTTTCTGTCTCAGAGATGCTACCATGCACTGACTTGATTGATAGCGCTAGAATTAAATCATAAGTTGTCTGGTTTGGAGCCACAGAAAAACAAATGTATGGTATGGACCCCTACTCCTGCATTCGGTGTCAGGGATCTGATTTTGATTATAGGTGATGTAATTTTTCCTACTCATACCTTTCTGAGGTTTTCTGGCTTGACACAGGCTTTACTGTCAATGCAACCCACACCCATCCCCACCACTGTGTATGGCATGTGTATGCTCATGATTCAAATGCCCCTTATGGTTATTTTGGTGTCTAAAGGTTAGGTTTTCATGATGGTCTGTTTAATCACGTGCTCAGATAAGAGTTGTGTGACCAACCATCTGATCCCCTGTAACAGAGAAAAATCTGGAGTAGGGTCTGATCAGAATCTGTAGTCTTCCAAGCCTTGAGGTGGGAAGACAAGGTAATCCAGAACAGACTTCTTCACACTGCTGGGATGAGTCTGCAGTACCAGCCACAGAATTAGTAATCCAGTCACTTCACTGTTTGTATTCTTTTGTTTGAGGCAGGGTCTCACATATGACATCCATTTCCAGTATTTCATTCTTCTTCATCACCTGTTTGCCGTATGTTTTCCTTTCCACAAATTATACTGTACTCACATGCACACGCATACATGTAGGTTGTGTTTGATATTTGGGAGAACTTGCTTCTTTTTCATTCTTTCTGAGATTGTAGTACTTTATTTAATATAAACTGTAAGTCTTTCCATCTTCCTAAGAGCTGACTGTTATTCCATGTTATAAGTATCAGATTTTCTTATCCATGGTTGGTTCTATTTCCTTGCATATTTAGCAGTAATAAACATGGAGGCACAAATATGTCTGTATAGAATATAAAATTCTCTGGTTATGCGCCCAGGAGTAAAATAGTTGAGTCATATGATACTCTGACATGCCAGACAATTTGAAACAATACAAGAATTCAAATGGAATCAACAAAGACCATGAACAACTAGTGAAATTCTACTCTAAGGAGTAAGAACACTGCTGAAGACCTGACAACCTGACCTCACATTGTATTGTAGAGCCATGGTGATCTAGATGGCCTGGCACCGGCATAAGATCAGATACACCAATGGAGTAGAACAACAAAGCTGTGCCGACTTAATTGTTGACAAAGGAGGGCAAAACACACATTGGGAAAAACATAGCCTATTCAATAAATTGGGCTGGCAAAACTGGGTTTCTACCTTCAGAAGAATAAAATTAGATTATCTTTCGCCTTGTACAAAAATCAGTTCAAAATGGATCATAGATCTTAGTTTAAAACCTGGAATGCTGAAACTTGCAGAGAACAGAGAGTACCAGTCAAGACATTGGGGTAGGCAAGAATTTTCTGAATAGAACTTCAGTAGCATAGGACCTAGCCCCAGTTGTCAGCAGATGGAACTACATGAACATAAAAAGGGGCTGTTCATCAAAGGAACCGTTTAGTCAACAGAGCACAGTCAGAATGGAAGAACATCTTTACCAGTTACACTTCAAACAAGGAACCAACATCCAGAATTTACCAAGAAATTAAATTGCAGAAATTAAATTAATTGCAGAAATTAAATATCAAGGAAAAAAACTGCCAGTTAACAAATGGGCTAATGAATTGAATAGCCAATTTTCAAAGAAAGAAACAAATACAAAAGCCCATTAACCATTTTAAAGGGTGTTCAATATCCCTAGTCATTAGGGAAATACAAATTAAAACTACATTTACGATGCCACCTTATCCCAGTCAGAATAGTCAAGAAATCTGACAATAGCCGGACAGTAGTACACAACTTTAATTCCAGTCCTCAGTAGGCAAAGGCAAGGCAGATCTCTGAGCTTAAGATCAGCCTGGTCTACAGATTGAGTTCCAGGACAGCCAAGGCTACACAGAAAAACCCTGTCTCAAACAAATACCAGTAATGTGAGGAGAGAGGAATCCTTGTTCACTGCTGGTGATGGTGCAAACTAATGCAGCCTTGTGTGAATCAATTTGGAGATCAATATAAAGATACCAGATGTAAGTGCGGTAAGTACACTGTGACCTTTAAAGCAGCTGCATACTGTCTATACCAGTGGCTCAACCTTTGGGTTGTGACCCCTTTGGGGTTGAATGATCCTTTCACAGGAGTAACATCAGATATCCATACAACAGACATTTACGTTGCAATTCATAACAGTAGCAAAAGTAATCATGAAATAGCAACAGTAAAATGTTTGGGGGTCACTGCAACACGAACTGCTTTCAAGGCTCACAGCATTAGGAAGGTTGAGAACCACTGCTTTATTACAATTTACAATTGTCTTCAAAGATGCCATTATTAAACCTGATGGACTTACTCAGCATCCCAAATTCTCTCACATCCTATGTCCATGAAAGTTTGGACATGAAAACTTGCACTGAAGGTGTGGGGCACAGTTCTGATAGAGACAGGAATCTCTTTTTCAAGGTAAAGGGGGAGGGGGGTTAGATTCCTGGTTATCCTTGTGGTGTCAGACATACAGAGTCTCCTAAGATGACTGATGTACTTGTCTTTAAAAGAAAATGGAAGCAATAGAAACTGGGTTTCTCATGGCCTCATGGCCAGTTTTGTGTGCTTTAGCTGCGAGATGAAGACATGAGGGAATGTATTCTCCAGACAGCCAGGTAAGATTATGGAGACAGTTTTTTTTGTTTGGTTGGTTTTAGTTGGTTTGGTTGGTTTGGTTGGTTTTAGTTTTGTTTTTTGAGACAAGAGTTTCTCTGTGTAGCCCTAATTGTCCTGAAACTCGATCTGTAGACCAGGCTGGCCTCAAACTCACAGAGATCTGCCTGCCTCTACCTCCCGAATGCTGGAATTAAAGGCATGCACCACCATTGCCTGGCATGGCAAAAAGTTAAGGAACGGCTACCCATGCCTGTTGTTGTTAAGATAAGTGGTACTACCTAAGTTTGTTTTTTTTTTTTTAATATTGGCCTTGTCTACTAATATGCAGAATCTAGAATCAGATGCACTATTTCTTATACCTGAGCAGTTCTGTTGCAATGTGAGAGACATAGAACATTCAGAATCTCAGAGAGCTTCGCTAAGTTGAGAGTCAGAATTTCATTTTTTTTTTCACTTTCCCTGGATATTGGAAGGGGGGGGGCACACTGTGGCTGGACAGCCCTAGATATTGGGAGTCACTGCTGATGACCAGTTTTCTGAGTACATAGCTTTATAGAAGCACCAAATAAACTTGATGCCTCTATCAATAGAGAGATAAGTTTGAGTTCTCCAGCTTGGAAACCTCAGTATTTTTTTTTTTTTTTAAGATAGAGCCCTAGCTTCGCGGTAAGGAAAAGCTTCAGTCTGCTGAGAATAACCAACAAGGTCAGGGCATACTAGTACTCAAATATGCTTCTGTGAAACCCATTTGCAGATGCAAAAAGGCCCGGAGTTTGCTGCTAGCAGCTTTAGTAAAGTTCTCACCAATGTTCTTTCAGCATAGTGACCAATTTTCTTGATTTTGTAACTTCATCTAAGACTTTCACATCATTATATGTTGAAAGTTACCAAGGTTACCCTTATGCATTTTGCATCTGGGACTCTCCAGTGCCTCTCTCTCTGAGTCCTGATCTGATCATGGGTGTTTTTCTGTGGCCATTTTGAACCTCTCCAAAGGTTTGATTTCTGGACATTTACTGGGTACTAAGATCTTAGCAGAGAACCTGTGTCTTACAGGGTGAATTAGCCCAACATTTTGTGCACCCTTTTAGAATGAGTTCTGACCTTCATGATACTCACCCACCTCTGAGTCTTAGAAGCCAGTCTAAGCCAGTTTCTTTCTGGGTGATTTGTGGTTTGCGCTCTGGTTAGCATCTGTTCTTCATCCACTTTCCCTACACTATTAAGGGTCCTTTGGGGCTTTTTGATCTGAGGATTTTTATCATCTATCGGTTTAGGAATTTTTTTTAGTTCTTATGTAACTGAATATTGTCTCTTCCTTAAATTCTCTCTTTCTTCCAACCTTACTAGAGTGATGTTAAACATTGTATGCCCTTGATTTCTATTTGATTCTTTTATACATCTTTCTTCTCTTTACTTCATTATTTCTAGACACTATTAATGAGGTAAGCTCAGTCATGCTTCTCACATTTAAACACAGGGAGCCTAGGACCTCACATTCTTCTTCTCTGCAGTCATTATCTCTGGTGCTGGTTTCTGTTCCGCTCTGTCAGCCACATGGTTGACTCCTGTGTATCTGGAGCTATGACTAGAAGCTCTCAATTTACTCACATGTAAATCCATGGAGGCCTGAATCCCAGAGGTAACCCTCTCTTCCATGTGTGCCACCCTAGAATTTGCATTCACTTCTACCAATCACATTTTCACCTTACGATTTCCACTCCCAAGAATGGGCAGAATTTTGCCCTTGTGTACAGGCCAAGGTGAAGTAGGCACATTTTCCTGTGGGAGCCTTTCCTGGCCCTTAACATGAGTAAGAATGAGGTTCTCATCTGCCCTGGCACCTCAGGTCCTATGTCTTTTCTCCAGTAAATTAAGGGCCTTCTCAGCTCCAAGGATAGCTGCCCATTTCACTTCTTGTCCCTGAGGAGTTTCTCAAATGACTCTATTCATGACTTTAGAGTGACTTTTAAATATTACCAGAGCCATGTGCAGTGGTGTATGCCTTTAATCCCAG